TGTCTGCATTTGTGATCGAAGAAACACAAACAACAAGAACTACTCTACACTGCTCAAAATTCACATTTGAATCATCAGTGGCAAATCCTTTAAATATGAAAACGTACTTACAGCCTGCGAGTCAGCATTATTTGTCAGAACAGCAGCATTGTAGGCTACTGGTTCAGGAACAGTCCTTGTCCTCCGGAAAATGCGCTGCACACATCTAAATATTTGGTTTGAACTGTTCTGGAACAGTGTTGTAAATACAACTTAACCACTGATGTCTAGTTTTGTCTTGTGAACTTGTGAAATCGCATCATATGACCCCTTTAAAAAATGTGGTGTCTTGCTTTAAGTTGACTGATTGGATCTAAAAAAAAAAAATCTCTCACGTTTTCCCATTGTGCACCACAGATGGCACTGTTAAAGCTGTTCTTCAAGGCTCTTCTGCTCCTTCAGTTTGCACTGCAGCTGTTGGTTTGAGCTGAACCTCAGAACCTGAACTGTCCTGCATATGGTGGAGTTCCTGGCACTCCTGGACACAACGGTCTGCCTGGGAGAGATGGGAGAGATGGTAAAGATGGTGCAATCGGACCCAAAGGAGAGAAGGGAGAGCCAGGTCTGTGTATGTGAAAGAGAGAAATAAATGAAGTGAGGGAGTCTGAGATAGTGGATTATTTCACTCCTACCTTATTTCAACTATTTTGCTCCTATCTTATAGGAGTGAGTGTTCAGGGACCACCAGGTAAAGCGGGACCACCTGGGCCAGCTGGAGAAAAGGGGGAAAGGGGACCTTCAGGTCCTCAAGGTATTAAACATTTAAGTTATTATTATAAGTTATTATAATAATGAGTTATTATAAGTCATTTAGCTATTTCAAAATCCCTCATGTGGAAAAACATGGATTTTTCTACTTTAAAAAAGTTGTCATGTAAATAATTTATATTCAATAATTTATGTTCATTCATGTAGACATGTACCTAATTTCAAAGTGCAATTATTAAATTTTTAGGCTCTCCTGGACGTGAAAGCATATCTGACTCCCTAAAATCTGAGATGCAGCATCTTAATGCCAAGATTGCCATGATTGAGAAGGTTGTGAGTTTTAATACATTCAGAAAAGTGGGACAGAAATACTACATCACTGATGGTGTTGAGGCAATTTTTGATACAGGGGTGCAGTACTGTAAGGACGTTGGTGGAACAATAGTTTTGCCAAGAACTGCTTCTGAAAATCAGGCATTATTGAAAGTATCAGTATCCAGTGGTTTAGGTATTAAGAAGCCATATATTAGAACTACAGACAGAGAAACAGAGGGATGGTTTGTGGACTCCGAGGGGAAGCTATTGACTTTTAAAAACTGGGCTCTTGGTCAGCCTGATGACTATAAGGGACTACAAGACTGTGGAACAATAACAGACTCTGGCCTTTGGGATGATGTTGGTTGTAATGGTCTACATCCCATCATATGTGAAATAGAAATCAGATAGTATGTATACAATATTAAGATACATACATATCTGCAATATTAATATGCTATTAACAGTACGTTTGTCAGGTCTACTTGTTTCTTCGTGTGTTTCCCCAGCTCCTATTTTGGATTATCCTGTGTTTTTCGTCATTAAAGACTGTGAATGCTACTCCGTGTCTCCTACGTTCTTCCCGCAGCAGCGTAACATGACAATTTGTTTGTTTATAATGTTTGTTCTATGCCCTGCACAAATATGTCCAAGGTTATTTCCCAGTGAACTCTGAAGGTGTTTTGTTAGTGAAATTTGTATGTGCACATAAGGCTGTTTATATAATTTAAGACACACTGTATAGGTATTTTCTTAGTTAGGAAACTAACAAACTACACCTCGCGGTCAAAAACAAATCCTTTTTCCCGATAACTGTTGTTATCCTTTGACATCTGAATGGAATAAACAAACCCATAACTTCACTCGCAACTCTACTTACAAAATTAATCATTAACATTTTGACAAACATTGGATGTTGTTTTTGTTTTGTATAAACTTTCTCATGCAGTAGTTAACCCTTGTCACACTCATGGTCTTCGTGGTCAAAAGTGACCAGACACCTGAAATGTAACTCTTTTTTTTCTTCAGTTAAATCAATCTAATATATTTTTCTTCAATAATATTTTTCTTTTTTCTTCTGTATTTTGAGAGAAATTTTATAGTACTAACTAATATTTATGCAATAATTATCAATTTTTCCCATTGAAAATAGTACAAAAAGTGTATTTTCAATTAATGCAGTATCTCAGATTGAAATAGAGACTAGGCCTTTAAAATCCAATGTTTGAAGACATAATAGCACCTCCTGGTGAGAGCAAAAAAAGAAAAACCTGTAATTTCATGGTGTAACCACTAGGCTTGTGAATTCCCTAGTTTTTATACATAATTGTTTACTTTTATTAGGTTGTGGATTTAAATGTATATTAAGGCATTCTCAAAGACTACTTTTTGTCAAGGTTTATATTTTTTGTTGTTTTAAATGTTGATTTGAAGTGTATGTTTTTGCATTATTATTACTACATTCAAACCTGAACACAAAAAGCATTTTGTTACACAAAACATTAAAATTCTATTAAAATGTAACAACAACTAAAAGGAATGCTTTATCAGAGCTTAATCCTTCTATGTCTGATCTGATTTTAACCTCTTATTTCAGTCTGACTCATTTTGGCTATATGTTATAGCCTTAACAATTCTTTTGAGTATGTATAATTCTGTATGTGTGTGTATGTGTGTGTCTGTGAGTAAGTGTGTGTAAGTGTGTGTATCTGGATGTATCCGTTTTACACTCTTGATGTTTTAGAGTGTAACCCCTTCCTTGGAATGCTTTATCAGAGCTTAATCCTTCTATGTCTGATCTGATTTTAACCTCTTATTTCAGTCTGACTCATTTTGGCTATATGTTATAGCCTTAACAATTCTTTTGAGTATGTTTGAGTATGTATAATTCTGTATGTGTGTGTCTGTGAGTGTGTGTAAGTAAGTGTGTGTGAATGGATGTATCCGTTTTACACTCTTGATGTTTTAGAGTGTAACCCCTTCCTTGCTGTCCACTTTTTTACTGCATTATAGTCGAATTATTGATTTTATTTTACATAGTTGCAGTGCTACAGTCACACCAGTTCATAGATGTGTGTGTGTGTGTGTGTGTGTGTGTCCACGCGTGTGTGAGTTGATTTTGCACTCTAGATGTTTTAGAGTTTCACCCCTTCATTGCTGTGCAATTTTTTCTGCATTATGGGGGATTTGTAGATTGTACCCACAAAAACATTCTGAATTTTTTCCCCCCTATTTCCCATTCATTTCCTATGGTCGGTCATTTTTGACCAAAGACCATAAGTGTGACTATTTTTTTTACGACCACTTAGCTTTTTCGAATCATGCCCTCGATTTTTTTTGTGTGTTCACATACCAAGTGCCATAAAAGTCACCAAGTTTCGTACCATTCTGGTGAAGCTAAGATATTTAAAAATTAAAAATGTAAAATTCTCCGGTCAGAAGTGACCAAAGACCGCACAAGGGTATTATGGTATTTGAATATGTGAGGTAGATGCTGCATTATTAATTGCCAGTGTTACTAACTAGTTACAATAATAATATTACTTTTTGCAGTAACTAGTAGTTTAACTAACTACTAATAAGATTTCAGTAATAATATTACTGTTATCATCCATAAAACAGCTCGTTACTTAGTTACATTTGATGCCTCAACTCCTACTGATTTGAAGTCCAATGATCCAATAACTCCTAGATTTATTTTCATAATTTTCACGACTTGCACAGGCACATGAAGTCACCAGTGCAGCAGGCAAGCTTGTAATATGGAAAAGCTTATATTCAACAGATGGAAATATTGCGATTACATTGATTTTGTCAGGAGAAAATATGATCTGAACAATGATGTAAGTTATGGCATTATGGAAGTTGTGGCATTTTACTCTGGCATTGCATGGCTTGCCCACCCACATCCCTCTTATCCAGTTATAAATAAAATCTTTTTAGATTTTTTTTATTTTTGTTATAAAATGCATGCATCATGGATTAGAATCGTATATGGGTAACAGAGAAATTATAGCTATCTTCAAGCTACACATGACAGTTAATGAGATTAGTACAGTGGTTTTACTTAAATGCTACTATCAATTACCACTGAGTGTTTGTAATAACTTTTGACTGCGATCCTATGTGGATTTTGGTCAAATGATGAGGCAGAAATATATTGTTAGTAACACTGGGACATGATATGCAATTACAACTTATGTGGGGAGCGAAAAAAGTAATGTAACTAGTAGTGTAACTAATTACTGTTGCCAGAAAGTAATAAGTAAAGTAATAATATGTGACCCTGGACCACATAACCAGTCACAAGGGTACATTTTTTTATTAATAAAATCGCCTTTAAAGTTGTCCAAATGAAGTTCTTAGCAATGCATATTACTAAACAAAAATTAAGTTTTGATATATTTACGATAGGAAATTATAGGATACAAAATATCTTCATGGAACATGATCTTTACTTAATATCCTACTGATTTTTGGCCTAAAAGAAGAATCAATCATTTTGACCCATACAATGTATTGTTGGCTATTGTTACAAATATACCTGTGTTACTTATAACTGATTTTGTGGTTCAGGGTCGCATATTACTTTTGAAAGGAGTAACTAGTATAACTAGTATATTTTTTGAGTAATGACTGTTAATTACACTGCAAAACTGATAAGATACAAAATCACAACATACACAACCACTAATTCAAGTAACAAATATGCATATGGTTTACTGCAAAGTGCTTCAGCTGAAAGTATCGAGGCTGATTATACAATAAATGAAAATCTACAGATGGTATTAAATAGGTTAGTGGGTAAAAGTTTCTCTCAAACTCTTGAGCTCCTGGCGTTTTTTTTTTTAATGTTCAAACACAGTAAATTTGCATTAGACAAACACGGGGCACCTATCAGGAATCAAAAACGCTTTTTCATCACAAATCGCATAGGCCTATAAATCAAGAAAACATAAATAAAGACCAATAAACAGATCTGAAACTTATTTAGCATTGCAGCAACATAATTCTTGCAGTTTCCACAGTGAACAAATGTTAAAGCATCAAATCTGTGCTGTGCTGCTCCTTATGGAGTTTAAGGTGCTTGTTGCAGCTCAAAGTAGTTGTCCAGCTAATGCTGGGGTGCCGGGCTCACCGGGACACAACGGCAGCCCTGGCAGAGATGGAAGAGACGGGTTTCCTGGACCAAATGGAGAAAAAGGAGATCCAGGTTTGTGCTTTTAGTTGTTGTTTTGTTGTGTACGTCTTAGGTTTGATGTAGTCAAGGGCATTGATTTGGTTTGGACATTGGGGGGGTTGAAGTGTGAACTGTTTTAGTAGAATCCTGAGGTCATGCTCACTCATAAGGTTTATTTATTTGTTTGTGAAATTATATTTTGTCCTATCATCTATGCAATAAAGTAACATCATAGTTAACAATTACTTGTTTACATAGTATATATATATATATATATATATATATATATATATATATATATATATATATTATTTATGCACTTATAAGCTATAGTTTGACAAAATGTTCTAATTCAACATGTCAATCTAACATTTTCTCATATTGATATTGTTTATTTCTCACTCTTTAAAAGTTCATCAGGCTCTTAATGATTTAATCTATGCCATCTTTTGGAATATCTGAAGGCCATATACCATAGTTCTTAACTGTAGCATTTGTTATAATAAGATTAGCCTATTAATCATTAACAGGCCAATAATTACTTTTTTAATTAATAAATGTAGCTTTTGTTATGAAGAAACAACCGCCTGCGCATATAGAACCAATAGCTACAACATGCCACCGTTGTTATATAAAGGGAAAGATCTATTCCCTTAACAGATTATCCAATATAAATTCTACAACAAGTTAGACTAAATTTGACACAGTAAATAAGCCTACAATAAAACGTGATAAATTCTAGTAAAGGTGGTCATGAGTAGCCTAGTTTTAAAAGATTTTAATATATGTTAGTGCTGGTTCAGGACCGTCAGTCATCAGTCTTTTTAGTTTATTTGCCTTTTTAGCAGAGGTGTAAAGAGTACCTAAAAACCATACTTGAGTAAAAGTACAGATACCTTACAGTGAAAATTACTCCACTACACATTACAAGTCACCAATTCCAAAACAACTTGAGTAAAAGCCTTAGAGTATCTGATTTTAACAGTACTTAAGTATTTTACTTATACTAAATATAGGCTCAAAAAATGCACTAGTCAAAGAGATTTGCCAGTGAAAAACTGTAATGTTGTGGAGAAGCTGCGGAAAAAGGCAGAGGCAAGGATTTATGTGCAGGTATTTAATGGAAAAACTAGAACAAACAATAAGACAAAAACCAAAGGGAACAAAGAACAGAATGACTGGCAAACAGACAACCATTAGGCCTACATTCAGCAATTCACAAGGAACTAAAGAAAAACTAGGGCTATATATACACACCGGGGGCCAACAAGCTTAAGGCCCCGTTCACACCAAGAACAATAACTATAAAGATAACGATATTAGCATCCACATCAGCGGATGATATCGTCTGATTATTCTAAGCGTACACTCGTCTGTCGCTTTAAATTCTCAAACTCGTGACAGCAGGATTGATTCTGATTGGCTGTCAATGTTTTTATTGTTCATCAGCTGGAAAAAATCGTTCTGAAAATGTTTCCAACGATATCGTTTCTCTGTGCCTTTATCGTTATAGCTGTGGTGTGGACTCTTCAATTCTTTAATATTGAAAACAATTTTTAGAACTATATCTTTATCGTTATCTTTATAGTTATCGTGCTTGGTGTGAACAGGCCTTAACAAGACAAGACACACCTGAGGAGATTAATCAAGAGGAACCAATGAACAAACGGACTACAAACGGACTACAAACACCACGGGAGACAGGAAGTGACATAAAAGTCCAGGGCAAGGCACAGAGAACATGTAACAAAAACAAGAAAGAGTTGATTTGTGAGGAGAGCAATCACGTTTATTTTCTAAAACCAATATGAAACTGAACACCTCAAAATTACGAAACAAACCAAACAAAAAACAATATCTTTCAAAAATGTCTCTTCAGTATAATGGATAAATAAAATAATGTTAAGTAAAATTAAAAAGCTGAAGCCTTCTTGCACTGGATGTGCTGGTTTCGGCCTCATTGCCGGCTGCAGTCATGTCCTCGTCTCATATATAAAACACCTGTGACTCACAAATACTTGCTAACGAACTCGCATTCACATAAAGTAGCCTTTTTGAAAAGTTTGGGTGAGTAAGGGCAAAAAGTACAAGATGCAGTACTTTCAGTGACCTGTAATAGGCAGTATCACGTCTTTTGTAGCAGAAATAAACTGCTGCAGAAAAAGCTAGGTACATGCAAAATGTAATGTGTAACTGCAACACTCATTTCAAATGTAGTGGAGTAAAGAGTACAGAATACTCATTCAATAATGTAGTGAAGTAGTGAGTAAAAGTTGCTAATATCTTTGATACTCAGTACAACTACAAAGTATCCAAAAAGTTACTCAAGTATAGAAACTAATTACATTTACTCCAATACTTTTCACCTCTGCTTTTTAGATACCGTTTGACTTTCTCCATAGCATTTTAAAGTGTCTGTTTCTCTAAATAAATCAAGTAGATCACATATTTGACCAAATCACATTTCTCGAGCGTGCTGGTGAACACGTGCAGAGTATAGGTTGATTCACGCGACACTCATGACCATTAAGTTAGCGCTTATAGAAGCGCAGAAGGTGCGATTTAAATTATTTCTTAATATTGATTCAAGTAGATTTGAGGTTTCCATTAACCATGGTATAATTATTGGGGGGGTTGTACTTGCTAGTTTTGGTTATTGGGGGGGTTATATCCCCCCATCCCCCCACAAACTACGCCCCTTGATGTAGTGCGATTGTGGGGGTGGGGAGTGGTGGTGGTGGGGGGGGGGGGGGGGGGGGGGGGTTGCACTTACTACTTTGGGTTATTGGGGGGGTTATATCCCCCCATCCCCCCACAAACTACGCCCCTTGATGTAGTGCGAACAGTCTGTTCATGTCATGTTCTAATGCTAAAATGAGATCTCACTCTGCAGGAGTTGGTGCACAGGGACCCCCAGGTAAAATAGGACCAGCAGGGCCAGCAGGGCCAGCAGCACCAGCAGGTGCTGTTGGCCCTAAAGGGCAGAAAGGAAGTCCAGGTCCACAAGGTAAAATAAATACATTTTAACATAAAATAATAACATAAAATACTTACCTGGGGAGACACTATGAACAAGAAGGTGGTTCACCCAGAGCGAGGCTCAGCCATTGCACGGCGCCCGGGTTCACGTCTGCGAATTCGGAATTCCCCCTAATCTTGACTGCATAATTTATGCTAGAGGGGGACTGTATGGGACACCATAATTGGCCAAACGTCACGTCACGTACTTTCCTTACCCTATACACACACACACACACACACACACACACACATATATATATAGTGCCGTCAAAAGGTTTTTGCCCCCTTCCTGTTTTATACATTTTTTGCATAGTTGTCACACTTAAAAGATTCAGATCATCAAAAAATTTTAATATTACACAAAGATAATGCAAGTAAATACAAAATGCCGTTTTTAAATGATGATTCCATTTATTACGGGAAAAAAGCTGTCCAAACCTACCTGGCCTTACGTGAAAAATGTATTGCCCCCTCCTGTTAAATCATGAAAGAACTGTGATTAACCACATTATTTTAGAAAGCTGAGTTAAATTTCCCTAGCCACACCCAGGCCTGATTACTGCCGCAATCTAAAGAAATTCAAGAACAGATGAGAAACAAAATAGTTGACATGTATCAGTCTGGAAGGGGTTATAAAGCCATTTCTAAGGTTTTGGGACTCCAGTGAACCATGGTCAGAGCCATTATACACAAATGGAGAAAATTTGGAACAGTGGTGAACCTTCCCAGGAGTGGCCGGCCTACCAAAATTACTCCAAGAGCGCAACAATGACTCATCCAGGAGGTCATAAAAGAACCCAGAACAACATCTAAGGAACTGCAGTCCTCACTTGCCTCAATTAAGGTCAGTGTTCATGATTCAACAATAAGAAAGAGACTGGGCAAAAACGGCATCCATGGGAGAGTTCCAAGTCAAAAGTCACTGCTGACCAAAAAGAACACAAAGGCTCGTCTTACATTTGTCAAAAAATATCTTGATTATCCCCAAGACTTTTGGGCAAATATTCTGTAAACTGATGCAACAAAAGTTGCACTTTTTGGAAGGTGTGTGCCCCGTTACATCTGGCGTAAAACCAACACAGCATTTCATAAAAAGAACATCATACCAACAGTCAAACATGGTAGTGGTAGTGTGATGGTCTGGGGCTGCTTTGCAGCTTCAGGACCTGGATGACTTGCCATAATTGATGGAACCATGAATTCTGCACTCTATCAGAAAATCCTGAAGGAGAATGTCCGGCCATCAGTTTGTGACCTCAAGCTCAAGCGCACTTGGGTAATGTAGCAGGACAATGATCCCAAACACACCAGCAAGTCCACCTCTAAATGGCTCAAGAAAAACGAAATTAAGGTTTTGGAGCGGCCAAGTCAAAGTCCGGACTTAAATCCGGTTGAGATGCTGTGGCATGACCTTTAACAGTTCATTCATGATCGAAAACCCTCTGTGACTGAATTAAAACAATCCTGCAAAGAGGAGTGGGCCAAAATTCCTCCAGAGCGATGTGAAAGACTCATTGCCAGTTACTGCAAACGCTTGATTGCAGTTGTTGCTGCAAAGGGAGGTACAACCAGTTATTAGATTTAGGGAGCAATTACTTTTTCCACATAGTGCCAGGTAGGTTTGGACAGCTTTTTTCCCTTAATAAAGGAAATTATTATTTCAAAACTGCATTTTGCATTTACTTGGGTTATCTTTGTGTGATATTAAAATTTTTTGATGATCTGAATTATTCAAGTGTGACAAATATGGAAAAAAACACACAAAAAAAACAGGAAGGGGGCAAAAACTTTTTCACAGCAGTGTATACACACACTGTGGACAGAAAGTCCATTTGTGTCTTTTCACATTGCATCATTGCGCAATTGCAAACTGCATAAATTCCTTCAATTTCATAAGAACGTAATTTCACTGTTTCGTTTTCTTTTCCACAGGCACTGCTGCTGACATTAATTTAATTACAAAACTTCAATTAGACATCAAAAAACTAACAGACAGACTCAGTGGAATAGAGAAAGGTATGTTACTTCTAAACAAATAGTAACTGCCTCAAAGTTTATTGTTGTGGGAAAATATATAAGTTTAGTACCTTGCTGTTAACATATTCATTAAATAATATTTAACCTTTATGTGAAGCTTCCAGGTTTCGCATATTTAGGAATATTGGAGGAAAATACTATGTGTCTGATGCGCTGACAGCAAATTACAATGATGGATTGAAGTTCTGCGCAAATGCAGGGGGAAGAATTGCCCTGCCAACAAGTAAAGAGGAAAATAACTTGTTAATGTCATTGCATGCTGTCCTTGGATCTTCTTATATAATGATTGGAACAACAGACATTCAGATAGAGGGGACATTTGTAGATATGCACAATCAACCTCTGACTTTTACCAAATGGAAGAAAAATGAACCTAATGATTATCGTGGAAGTGAGGACTGTGTTGCCATCTTAACAGATGGTGAATGGAACGATGTTAAGTGTAACTCAGAGTGGCACGTGGTGTGTGAACTACAAATGTAATAAATTTCGGAGAACATTTAAAGTAATTATTTCGTTTCATACTTAAATTGTGAGTAAATGTTATGGTTTGGCTACAATTTAGCCTTTGCCTTCTGCATAAGCAAAGCTTCAATTTCACTCCTGGTTATCCTGAGAAAGAAATCAATCATTAACATTTATTTAAACATTGGATCTTGTTGTTTTGTATAAAATGCATCAAATCAATAATTTGTGTTTGGACATCTAGATATATTTGGATTCATCAAATTACTTCTACACTATAAGAAGAAAAATAGACAAATGGGAAAGTTATTGATAATTTTCTACCTTTCTGTTAAGTTTACACATGTTTCCTTTAACCCTACAACACAATACAAAGTGTAATTGACAATACAAGGAAAACACTACCAAAAAATCTGTACCGACTATATTTTTATGGAGTGCATATTTAAATATGGTTCATATAGCCTATATTTTGCACAAACCAAGATAATAAGTGATAATATTGATATTGTGATTTCTTAGTTACTTATTTGTAATATTAATTTAATGTTAAAGTTAATGGAAAACTACAAACAGTTCTTTTTTCACAGAGGTGTCACTTTAGGATCAAAACCAATTCAAAATACTGATAAGATACATAATAATGAACCATGACCACAAATGTAAGCAATAATTAACTGCATTCAATCATGCAGAGGAATTGAGCCCTTCACAACGTAAACAGAACTTAAAGTGTGTCCAAAAGTGGTTTTTCTATAACAGATAGCTAAATGGGTTAGTAAGAAAAGTTTCTTTCAGTTCAGGAGTTCAGGAGCTCAAACATTTGATGTCCTTGCGTTCTTTCAGTTGTTCAACCAGTTCATTTGCTTTAGAAAAACTCTCGATTATAAGGTCATGAATCAAAGTAGGCTATGCGGTTCTTCAATGCAAAAACAATCACTGTAAGTTGCACATAAATTACAGGACAACATATGTGACTAACATATACAGGTTGAAAACTAGTCAAATGATACAGTATTTGTTTCTGTTTGTTTTGTCAATGAACTCTGGGTACCTACGTCAAATTTGGTGAAGGGTTGTGTTCTCTTTTAGTGCTGATCGCCAGGCCTGATCTGTTGGTAAGATTGATATGCTTCTGGTAAGGATTTTTAAAAAGCAGTAAACAAAAGAGAGAAGTAGACATGCCAGTATAGTTTGTTTTGTTGTCCAGTTTCAGTATTTTATAATGTCATAATATTTTATTTTGATTTGAGACCAGTTGGGCAGAATGCCTTTTAATATTCAATATATAACTGAAAATGTGAGAAAAAACGTTACACTTGTTGCTTACCTTCCTTTTACTTTCCGTTGTGAACTTGTTTGAAATCAAAATCAATATCAAACCTTGTTGTTATTAAATATCGTCATAATCAGAGTGAAATTACATTTTTACCAAGTGAAAATTATTTTATAAACTGTAAAAATATTTTCCTTTGGACTCAAGTGTGCATATTCTCTGATGTCTGAATGCAACACTGCGGCAACAGAAATCCTGATTGTGTCCACAGTGAACAGTATATGGCGCTATTAAAGAATCAAATCTGTGCTGTGCTGCTTCTTCATGATGAGTTTATAAAGCAAGAGTTTATGGTGCTTGCTGCAGCTCAAAGTACCGGTAGTTGTCCAGCTAATGCTGGGGTGCCGGGCTCACCTGGACACAACGGCAGCCCTGGCAGAGATGGAAGAGACGGGTTTCCTGGAACAAATGGAGAAAAAGGAGATCCAGGTTTGTGCTTTTAGTTGTTGGTGTGTTAAGTCATAAAGTTTGATGTAGCTGTAGAACATAATGCTGAAAGGTAAGGTGACTGCAGATCAGAGAAATGAGATTTAACCATCACTCTTACTCTGCAGGAGTTGGTGCACAGGGACCCCCAGTGAAAATAGGACCACCTGGTGTTGCTGGCCCTCAAGGACACCAAGGGAATCCAGGTCCACCAGATAAAATTAAAGCACCGTGAATTATTATTTATTAAAGTGAGTTATTATATATATTTATTAAACAGAAAATCAAGATTAATTTTAAACTTTTATATTAAAAAAAATATTCAAGCAAGGTGTCTAGAATGAAAAAAAATAGTCAAACTATAAATAAATAATGATGAAGTTCTAGACTGTGATCAAGTATTGTCTTTTAACCATATCTTAATTGAGTTTATACAGTAATTGCATAAGGTTCAAGAAAAATATGCTTCTTGGTATTTTCTTCTGATTTTTCTTCTGATGCTTGTGATTTTCACTCTGCTATATGCTTTTACAGGCACTGGTGTTCAAAGTGCATTAGTAATACAGCATCAATCTGATGTCAAAAACCTAACAGGCAGACTCACTGTAGTTGAGAAAGGTAGAATTATCCTACATAAACAATGACTGCACTATGTTTTGTTTATATGTGTAATAATATGTATATACTGTATTTAAGATAATGCTTTTTAAAAATAAAAAGTTTAGTCCTAGGATTTTGCATTTTCAGGAAAGTGGGCCAGAAATATTACGTGTCTGATGAGCTGGTGGGAAATTTTGAAAAGGCACAGAAGTTCTGCTCTGACGCTGAGGTGAAGATGAGAATAAAGTTCTAACTTCAATGCAAGCTGCCCTTGAGTCTACTTCCGTATATGTTGGTGCAACAGACAGAAAGAAAGAAGGGCATTTTGTGGATATGAGTGACCAACCATTAACTTTCACCAACTAGAATGAAAAAGAGCCAAACGATTATAATGGAGCAGAGGACTGAACAATTATTTAGAAACGTGGTCTGTGGAATGACACTGACTGTAATTCAGAGCGGCATGTGGTGTGTGAACTGTGAAAACGATTATGAATTTTTACTGCTATGATGTTTGAATGAAGAAGGAATAAAGTAAATCATATGAAAACAGACTGCATTTGCATCAAAGTTTATTGTCATAAAAATTCAGTAATGTTTAGCAACGGTTGGAAGTTTTAAAAAAAACATTAATTCATTGACTGGAGTCATGTGGATTACTTTGATGTTTTTAATCAGCTGTTTGACTCTCATTCTGGTTACACTATTTGAGGATCATACAATGTTCTCTTCCTTTGAGGAAAATATCACACAGATATTAGCATTACAACACTAGTGGCATAAACATCTTTTTTCATCCAATTCCGGATTCTGTGGACACTCACAAAGAGAAAAGCAGAAAACCGCTGAAGCTAGTGTAGCTGTTTTCATCGTCAAAAACCCAGCTGTTCTCCCACAGCTGTGTGCACACTTCATCACCCTTCTGCAGTGAGAGAACAACACCATTGCTGCCATTAGCATTGGTCTCAGGCTTCAGAACAAATACAGAGCATTGGAGCTGATTATTTTTATGGAGACTGACTGCCATTTGGTTAAAAGGGTGAGCATGAGCATAAAATCTGAAGCAATAGACTCCATTCACTGGTGCTGTAAAAGTACCTGCAAGATACATAAACATATGAATTTAGTAACCGTAAAGAAATGCCTTTTATTACTTGAATATCCATAGTCACAATGGACAACTGACAACATAAAGACATATAAATGGCACAGGTTACCAGTGTTGGGGTCATATGCATTTCCAGTGTTAGTGAAGATTTTTTGGTACACCAAAGTTTTCCGAGTGTCAAAAGGTCCAAATTGCTGTGATCCAGATGCCAAAAGTCCAGCTGAAAAGGCAACCTTTTTGGCTGTGATAAGGTAAGTGGACTTGTTTTGGTTTTGCAGTTGGTTTTAAATATACCACCATAGAACAATCATTTTAATTTACCTTTATTTTCTGCCTGGATAGATTCAAGTTCATCCCTTGAGGCTTTTGTGATAGTCCTTAGAGCTATTCAGAATGAACATTGCAGAATTTTATTATAATTATTATATTATAATTTTATTAGTGTTCTTGGATGGAAATGATTCAACAGATCAACGTGTCTTGTAAAGGTGAAAATAGATCAAACAGAAAATACATAAGATGTAGATGAGAACTCACAGTGGTGGACGAAGTACACACATCAAGTACTTGAGTAAAATTACAGATACGTATAATAAAATATTACTCCAGTTAAAGTACTCAGTTTTCAATTTTATTCGAGTGAAAGTACAAAAGTACTTGATTTTTTATGTACTTAAGTAAAAAGTACCGAAAGATGAATGTTTATTTTGCAGTTTTATATAGGCTACTTTTATCATTTAATTTTATATTAGCATATTTTTTTTTATAATCCTACTGCTCAAAATACCTGGGTTTTCCCCAAAATAACCAATAAGGGAATAATGAATATAATAAGGAAAATATAATTAGATTTTCATAATAATTTTTTTCTTCTCAAACCTTGTCTGTGGTGTAAAAACACCCCTGGCCAAATGCCCCCAGAGGGCATCACTTCCCACTTTGATAATTACTGTAGTTACCATGTTCTGAACATCACATCCTTTATTTTCCCTCAGATGTATTTTTAAAAAATTACTTCAATTTAGCACCAGCAAGCTCGTTAGCTAGACAGTTAGCATCAGCTAACATTGACTTATTTTCAGTATGGTTATGAATAAACATTTATATTTGTCTACTCGGCTAGTTGATCCAGATACATAATAACTTAGTCTATGTGTGCTGGCAAACAATATAAAAACGTCGCATAGGGCTAAATGCATAGCATTTTAGTAAAACTGCTAATGTTACAGCAGCGGGGAAGATGAACGTGCATGAGTTATTTTTATTTAATCTGTGTTATATTAATGTTTTTTGACCTAAAACATAGAGACTCTGATGTTAATGTGTCTGCATCATAGACTGTATAAAAACAGGTCTGCATTCAAGCATTTCAGTCTGCTTGTGCTTAAACAGATCACCCTTTACAGCAGATTTAGTTCTCAGACAACTGACAGCTTTGACCTAAAAATGACTTTCAGTTACAATAATTAATCCTAAAATTCGACATTAGTAACTTACTTTTAACAGCATCAGACGCGCGCGCGCTCACATGATCTCCCGGTTCTTGTGAATTCAGTTCACTGGAGACTCGCACTAAACGGTTCATTTGAATCAGTGAGTTGTCGACTCGAGAACAGCTGCAATCGGATCATTCCAATGCGTGAATGAATCGTTTGATGCGATTTGCGAACCGATTTAAAAGGTTCATTGAAAAGAATCAGTTCATTCATGAATCACACCGCTTCTGCGTCTCGGAGATCGTTTGATGTTATAAGGAGTAACGATATGTTTTATGAAATGTAGTGAAGTAAAAAGTACGATCTTATGCTTTGGAATGTAGTGAAGAAAAAGTAAAAGTTACTCAAAATAAAACTACTCCAGTAAAGTACATATACTTGAAAAATGTACTTAAGTACAGTAACGAAGTAAAACTACTTCGTTACTGTCCACCACTGGAACTCATACAACTATTACTGAGAGACACTTACCTTCATTCTCTCTCTTCAGTTCTTTCAGTGTTTCCTCAGTGGCTATCAGCCTTTCCTCAATGTTCTTAAACTGTTCTGATGTAATGAAATCATGTGCCAGTGAGACCCCAACACAAAGCAATAACAGCGTCTTTTGAGCTGCCAACATCTTCATAGCTACCTATGCCTAACGTTTTTATGGTGCATGTAAATTTTGCACAGTTTGGGGCAAGATGGAACCTAATGGTGCAGTAAAAGCAAACATGACCCTTGTATTGTTTGGACTTGCAACACTGACGCAGAAAAGCTTCAGATTAATCTGCAAATAAGGGAGAAGATCAGATATTACAAACAATAATTTTTTGCAGCTATATTAACTCTTCAGATTTGTTTTTCATATTTGGTCATATTCTTTGATCCAATGTCACAGTGGATGATTTCTATGCAGTGAAAATAGTGCAAGAGTTTCCCACTTGAAACTCTTGCTTTGTTCAGAGATAATGGGGATTTTGTCATTTCAATAGTATATAATTAGTTTTAAAAAACTAAAACAAAATATGTTTGGGATATAATTCTAAAACTGATAGGCCTACTGGGCTATATGCAGTAATATGTAGCTTGTTGTCTCCCAATATGAACATTAATTTAAAAAAAAAGTTAAATGTTTAGTCTTTCGTCACTTTGAATAAAGAAATGACTTATAGAAAATAAGTATAGAGACGTTTTTATTGCCAATCACAAACAAAAAATGAATGAAGAACAAATAGAAATTTATCAAATTTAATTTTAGATGCTGTAGTAGCTAATATAACTAGGAATGAAAATAATCAATTAATAATGACACCCAGTATAAAATTAATCTTTACGAAACAAAAATCACATACTTTTCAAACATTCCTGTGCCTGCTCTGTGATTGGATAGAAAGTTCATTTAGGGCGTGACGTCACACGGTCGGTTGAACCAAGAAGGAAAGAGGTCAACTTCCGGTACGGTGCGTGCTGTTCAACAGGGAACACAGGACATACCTGCCAGGAAAATGCGGTAGGCTGTTGTCATAACTGAAAGAGAAATTAAAACACAACACATCTCAGTGCTATCTTTACGACTTTGAAATAAATGTGGCATATGGTCATATGGCCTAAGGGCTTTGTGACGGAAGCAATCGGGTTCGCTGATCAGTCATCGATCGATCAGGATTAGGGAGCACGGTTGAACATGGGAGCGAGATCGAGCCGTTTACAAGAGGAGGCTGCCGCGACTGCTTTCGATAAAGATGGCATCAAGAGAGAGTCCTGTCGACGAATCCGAAGCACCAGGCCCACTAGCCTCATGGTGGAGTTCTCCGGCAGCTTCGACCATGACTCAGAGACGAACCGCAGCCGGTCGGAAGAGGGCAGCGACTCGGACACTGGGCAGCAGGCGAGCAGCGACGGCAGCCCCGCTGACAGTCACATGTCCCCGTCTCTGAGCAGCCAGGCCTCGCCGACGGACGAGAACGGGACAGAGGAGGATGGCAGTCCGGGAGGCCCTGTGAGCGCGGAGGAAATAGGCCGAGCACCACAGCGCACTTTCTCGGAGCGTTTGCCCGGTGGTCGCCATTCTTCCGCCAGCGGCTTCACAGCCAGGTCCGCCCGGGTGAGGGGCACTCACCCCCGGCCAGTGTCTGAGGCGTGGATCGGCCTGTACAGGGTCAACAACCGCCACGGTGGTAAGTGGAAAGACTCATCGTTCCTGTCATTTCAGACGTTACACCCTGTTCAGCTCCAATTCTGTGATTTAAACCTGCGCTGTTCACAGTGAGTAATAGCTAAACAATGCTCAACAGCGCAATATATTAAAATAATCCTAAATGCTTTTCATGGTATTCAAAGAGAGAGTTCACCTTAAAATTTAAATTCTGTAATCGTTTACTCTCCTTATGTTGTTTCAGATGTATATTTGTTTCACAAAAGACATTAGGCAGAATTAAATCTCTATTTACCGTGAACTCTTAATTGAAGGAAAGTGAAGTCCCTAATATTAATCTCATTTTGTATTCCATATGCAAAAGTCAATCCAAAAACTTTCATCAACTAGTTCGCTTAATGAACGTTTGGTTACATGTCCATTTGTTAGCATTCAATAACAGTGATTATATTCTAAAGTATTTATTGAAGAGTAATGAATACTTTATCAAATGTATTGCTTATTATTAATATTAGTTAATGCTTTAACTAATGGGACCTTATTGAAAGTGTTACTGAATGTTTATATACATAATAGGCCAAAGTCAATCTGAGTGAATTGAGTGAATTTACAATATTATTTTGTTTTAAAACCAAATGAAACATGGAAGGTGATTAACAAAGATTAATGATTCTGCATGAGACTAATGAGCTTGCGGTGTAATTAGGCTTTGGGGTTTATAGACATTTCAAGCATTCCTGACAGGATGATCCATGGTGGATTGAAACCGAAT